CCCCCCCCCCCCCCCCCCCCCCCCCCCCCCCCCCCCCCCCCAAGAAATAGGTTTTTGACGTTTGGGGAAGTTTAGGTTTTTTTTTTCTTTTTTGCTTGCCAAGAAATTTCTGGCATTGGATTTTTTTTTGACTGGGGTGGACCCCCCCTGGAAAAAATTTCTGGATCCGCACCTGTTTGGGGAGAATAAAGAAGCATACATTTTTTAAATTGGAAAATTCAAATTCGAGAAACATTTCGTGATGGGAGGGAAACGGGACTATTTGTCAATCATCTCTCTCTCTCTCTGGTCGAAAAAGAGATCCTGTCCTTGTATTAAAAATTCCGTATTGAATTAATGGAAAAGGATTTTTCTGTGGTTGGGATTAGTGGAGGGGGGAGAGGGGGGTCAGCTGAGGTCTCCATCCTCCCGGTACTATGTGTCTGAAATAACTTATGCTGAGCTTATAAATATAGATTTATTTGCTGTGTTTTATTTTCGCAATGTCCATAATAATGAAGCTAGATCCTTTGTACTGTATTGTATTGGTTTACATACATTCTGACAGACATTTTTCATACTGATTGTGAGGCTTAGGCCATTCAGTATTTGCAAACTTAATTGTCGACTGATTTTTCCGATATTTATCGATCATGCCAAGGAGCACACGACGGGTGTGACCGGTTGGCAGGGGATGCTCACTCACTCCTCCATGGCACCTGATCCCACCTCAGATGTTTTAGAGGTCCGTGTTTGCTCTGCTCTTGCTTTGTATTGTTCAAATAGACCTTTGAACATAAACACTGTTCGTTATCCCCATATATTCCATGCATATGATTTGTTCATCGGCAAATGTATCATTAATGAGAAATTTCATAGCGATTTTGGTATGAAGGAAATGTTGAATACATGTATTTTTTTTATTTATTCCAAAAGGCGTTCATCTCAGACAATATCCACTCAAGAGCGTGCGACAGCCAGACAACGCCAAAGTGATCACGATCGGTCGGACCAGCTTCCTGATCACGGCGGACGAGGGGCGGACCACGGATTTTACCTCTGCACATGACGGATTCGCTTGGTCCGATCACAGCTTGGCAGATGTTTTAACCAGACGTAAAACAATTTACTGCATGCTTTAGTCTACTTTTGATTGTACATTTGTTGTTCAGTAGACAAATTAAATGTTAAATACTGCACAATGTACATGTATGATACAAGTTAGAAGTTTTATTATTACTAACTACTGTCTGTAGATCTAAATGTACATGTATTACGTTTTCTTTGAGCTAGCTTAAACTTTATATTACAAAACAAGCCCCTGTGAAAATTTTCAAGATTGTTCGAATGTCATGATTGAACAACATTAAAAAAGGTTGACAAGGACTTGAACTATAAAGCCAGAGAACTTTTTTCAGTCCTAGGTTTTTAATAAAGAATTGACAATGATTTCATTTCAGAGAATAAGTTTGATACCACAGTCATCAATAATGACACATTTATAGAGGCTCTTAAAATGGACAATAAAGCGGGTAAGTAATTTCAATTTCATTTGAAGATTTCTTTAAAATGGACCAAGCACCGCTGCCATTTATGTCTTTGTTTGTTGGAACCACAGGGGAAAGGGGGGGGGGCTCATAAATTTCAAGTGCCCAAATTGGTTTTTCTTAAAACACGTATACCTCTCTCTATATATATAATCTTATTTGAGTTTTATTGTATAGTACAAATTGGCAAAATTGGGGGAGGGGGCAACGATAGATTTTCTTATTTTTACTGAATTATGAAGTATATGCATGCAAATAGGCAGAATTATAAGGGGAACCCCCTCTCCTCGTTCCTGCCGACCTTGTCTAAGAATTCATTCTGTGCTTATAGGTAGACTAACATTGAGCACGATTGACGGTCTGAATCTTTTTACGGGGAAAATGGATGAAGTCAATCACTTTGGTGGTCGAGGATTTTCCGTTTGGAAGGCTTCAGATTTGTCGCTAGTGTTCGACTCTGGTGATGAAATAGAGAAAGAGCTGGCCAACTCTATCAAAACTGTCTTCAATACAGACTGTATTAAAAACACAATAACCTACCAGAGTCCAGAAAATTTAAGAGACACACAGTCCGATAATTATGTAAGTTGTAAATTTATTAATTTTTTTTCTCTGTGATTAGCTTTGATATTTGTGGGCAGCAAACACCCAGTATTTTCTATACGATTTAACTTGATATCAAGAAAATTCGGTAATCAACAAATACTTCATCCTCATACATGTAAAAATGACTGACATTTTTTTAAATTCGTTTGAAAAGTTCTTAAAATGTTCAATGTTACTTGAGGTTTAATAAAACATGAGGCAGGATCATATGCTGCTGTTGACCGGTCCCATCCTCCATGTGCGCCTTTAGCCTTGTCATGATTGGGTAAATGAAACAAAAACTTGTTGTGACAATATAATGACCTAGCAGTCTGTTTGAAACGCCAGTCAATATTCAATTCAATGATAAATATTTAATATTGCTGATAAGGTCTTTATATTGACCATAGAATTGTGAAATATTGACGTTAAATGAGACTGTTAATATCCTTGTTTCATCAACTTATTTGATAATAGCTTGCCTCATTCAGAAAACATGCTCTTGCATGTCGAATCAACAGGGAGAGATAAACTCCATATGCAGGTGATAATGAAAAAAAGCTTCATAAATGAGAAAAAGCTGACAATTTGAGAAGTTGTAATGCATTTAATTATAATCACACTATGGGTTTACACCACTTAACAGTCTCTCCCCCCCCCCCCTCCATTTTCACTAACTGATTTTGCTTCCTGGCCTGCAAATATTTACAAATAATGGATCTTGTTTGTATTATTGTATTTTCAGGGTCCAAAAGTAGGTTCCTTAGATTACATTAAGGACTATGACCAGGAGTATATTGTAGTGGGCAGTGAAACAACAGGTACTATATTTGTCTACTCCGTGAATTCCACATCTGGTAAACCAAAGCCTCAGTTTGAAACGGCTTATAGGACCGGGGACACCGATTATGTGTGGAGTGAGCTGTATGAGATGGGGACCGCAGGGGATGCTGGACTCTCGGCTGTAGGGTTAGTATTTACTGTAGCATTTTGTGACTGTGATTGTATACACTGTAGAACTTGATTTCAACAATCATTATGTAGAAAAGGATAAAAATAGAAAAAGATACTTCCACTTCCTTCTGAAATAATTATTGAACAGGGACTTTATCTTAATAAAATTGGTGGTGATAATATTAAAAAAAAAAATTTATATTTCAGATTTATCGGCCGAGATGACAATCCTCTAAACAGAACCTTGATTTATGCCATAGGAGAGTACTCAGGATCTGTGACCTTATTTCAGATAGAAAACTTGTAGCAATGTAAACAATAACTCAGCAATTACACTGTTCCACTGTATATATGATAAACAGTTCATTTTCATTAATGTTCACATCTTAATTGTCATTTTGAAACCCTGTGAGCTAAAATAAAGACTAATTTTTGCTCTTGTTTTTCTTCAACTGTCATCCCCAATTTCTCCTGTATCTGTGTCCATGTATTTCTCGCGAACGTCTTTGATTTTCTCATATTCAAACTCTGCCTGAACAGCACAGGACATCATGGATTGAATGTCTCTTTCTTCTAGATCCCCAAACACATAACCATTGGCTTTGTCCACCTGTCTCATCACTCGCAGCATTGATTCTTTGTCCTGTTAAAAATAAAATCTTTAAAAATTGTCTGTTTGCTCTTTCCTAATTGAGTGACTAAAACTGATCCGACTCAGACTTTTTTTTCACTTCTACACAATGAATATTATTTTTATTTATTCTTGAGTATTCCCATCCCATCAAATTAATTAATCTTAATTTTGACAATTTTGTTCTTTTTTGGAGCAAATTGATTTTTAACATAAAAACATGTGAAAAAATCGAGAGAGGGATGTTACAACAAACAAACGTTATTCTGTTGTTGATCTTTACCTCTACATTGAGTGGAACAAATGAGACTAGACTGTAGTCTTGTACAAGGTCTATCAGAGCTGAATTTAACTTCTTATACTTCTGCAGTGATTTGTCCGCCTACAAAACAATGTTAAGTGTTAACATATAATAGAAGTGTTCTTGAAAATAATAGTATTTATAAAGAATATTATAATTAGATGTAAACTTAATTAATTTTTCCAAAAAAAGTAAACAAAATAGCTATATTGTATCACTGTGTATCACTAACTTTAAATTCATCCAACAGATAGCCAAGTTCCAACACATCTGTATAAAAATCCAGGTTAAATGAGAGCTTTCCAAATTTCTCTATCAAGTCACATTTTGACAGAACATTAACATGTGGAAGTTCTAGCTGTAGCATTGTGGACAGAGAAGTTAATAACACTGAGATGAACTTTGATGGATCACTGCAATAATGAGAATCAACAAGATGTACAGCCACGAGGCGATAGTCCCACTTCTGTAACTGAGCTAGTATATTGCGAACACATTTGTAATGAGTGTATAATTCAACTTGTCCTGGGAAATCAAACAACAAGTACTTGTTTTTAAGTTTTGCGAGCTCGTTCTGAAGCCAGTCAATGTTTTGCTCCAAGTATTCCATGCAATAGATAAGACCACCATTAGGTCCAAGTTTTAAGGAGTCCATGACATCAGAAAGGGTAATTAAGGTCGATATATCGACGTCACATTTGTAGGGAAGATGGTCATTAGCAGGATCTAGGTTGATGACTGCCACCTCTCTTCCAAAGGCTGATAAAAACTCGGACATGCCATGACAATAGGTGGTTTTGCCCGATCCTGGGGGCCCGATGACTACTTGTCCAAACATTGTGTTACGCTTCTTAACACACAAGTATGTTTTATGCCTATATCATTCCTGACTTACATACAAACTACCAAAAATCCAAGACCTAGTCAAGTTGCCAAATGCTTTCCATGAAAGTGAAAGTACATTGTAATATGCGAAACGTAAACGATAACTTTATTTCCGGAAGAAAAAACGACAACCCTCCCACAGATGTATAACAGTATGAGGCCTTATGATAAGGCTACCATTAGATCTAAGTATAAATATCTCTAGTAAAGAATTTTTGAAAGTTTATATATAACTTTCAGTTTAGAATGTGTTTTGATTTCCCACTTTAAAAAATTGTAAATATGAAAACGAAAGTAACGTGTTAGGCAGCGAGCTGAGATGGAGTCGTCAGTGACACCCACGTTTGTGTCATGTCCAGAGCTCGAAGTTTCTGAGATTGTCAAAAGTTGGTTGTTGTCAAAAAACTACCAGGACAATCTTAAAGATAAACTGAAATGTATTAACAGTGCAAGTAAATTGACTGAAAAGTATAAATCCTCAATTTGTTTTGAAACCCTGGGACCTGTTGTGCATATCACGGTGAGTAATATCAGTGATGTACTTGGGTATATACCCCTGGTACGTATATATAAGTTTCTGTTAATATTCTTTGTAGAAAACTATCTATGCAAAATGATAACGATATTATTTTTTAATAAAACAAATAATTAATATCATTTAAAAGTTAATATTAGTTTATTTTTTATTGAATAAGTTAACTAATGTACACAACCAATCCAACCAGACATTGATCATGTTTATAATAATTAATTTAACCATCTTAATTTATTTATTTACAGAGAGAAGCACTCTCAGATGAAGATCCTTTTGTGCGTTATTCAGCAGCTATAGCATTGGGAGACATCTTAAATCACTTTGATAATACAGATTTCACTCAAGTGATCAATGACATGATCTCAACCATGTCAACAATGCAGTGTGGACGGAGAGTGAGCATTCTTGACTTACTGTGGCATCATCTCTCCAAGTCTGAGAGTAAAGAGAACTGTCTTGTATCCGTGACAGTCCTAGGGCAGCAATGGACATACCTGTGTGAACTGTGTCTTTTTGACAGTCTTGTCGTAAAGCATGAATGTTCTTCTTTCCTCATCAAACAAACCTCTGAAAAGGTTGTCATGCACTGTGAATTTCTCAGCTTATGGAAAAGAATGATAAAAACATGCGTTAACAGCAAACAAGAACAAATCATTGACTTTTTGAAACCAATTTTTAAGTTGATATCAGTGGTCAGACCCAAGGTTCTAGAAAATAGATTGACATTTCGGGCTGTGTTGAAATTCATTTATGTTGCTGTAAAAAATATTGCCGAGATTTCTGAATTTGAGGGTGCCTCAAAAGACATAAGCATTCAGCTTGCAAAAACTTTAGTGGATTGCTTTAGTTCTGAATGGTTCGAAGACTTTCCATGTGATTTTAAAGATGGATTTGGAGGAGAATTAACAATAAATTCAAACAAGCAACAAAGCTTCCTAATTTGTAGAATAGTTGGAAACATCTGTGTTAAGCTGGTGTCATTTGTACTAGGACTAGGTGAATTCATTTTTTTCTGAAAGGCACATGAAAATTTATTTATCATTGTATATCAATTAACTTAAGATCCATGTAAAAATATATTTTTAATACATTGTACATGTTTTCTATTTTACAGATATAGATTCTGGTAGCAGAAATTTAGCATCAATTCTCAGAGTCTTAATTTCTCTAGATACCTGGATGGGTAGAACTTCACCACAAAATCATTTTCTCTGGGTTCCGGCTGTTTATTCAGAACAAGATGATGCATGGATTAATATTTTAATGACATTGTTGGAAATATACATCAACATGAAATCCAGGTATGTTAAACAGAATACTTGTAAAAGTGAAATAAAAACCAAACCCAAAATTTCACTTTTAAATTTTCTAAAAGAGTAAGCTAATTTGTAAGTTTTTTGGGGGGGATTACTACAGTTGAGGAGTGATGTTGTGGCATCTAATCTTCACAAGGGTTGTCAACTCAAATATTTTGTTAGCAGTTACTCATCTGTTTTTCTGGTGAAGTACTCAAGTATTGGTCATTATTCAAGAAAAAGATCAAAATTTAAACTCGTCTTCACTATTGTACAGTGAAACTTGTCTAAACTGGATGCTGTAATCCGAAATCTTGTCTAATATGGCAGAAGCTTTAAGTTGTTTTTAATGAAATGTTGTATATAAATTATTTTCTACATTGCATAATTGTATAAATTTGTGACCCAAATGCCAACATAAGTATATTAAACCTGGAATGAAAGAAAAAGACAAAATCCCTCTAATTTTAGCATACATGTATGTGATTTCATGATCAAACATGACATATTTTTGTCAATCTGATTAAAATCAAATCCTTTGATCCGCTCCCGTAGATCGCTACACAAACCCTTTTGTGTAGCGATCTACGGGAGCGGATCAAAGGATTTGATTTTAATCAGATTGTATTTTTGTGTTTGAAGATTACAAGATGAGGAAGCCTGCACTGTGATTCAGGATGCATTAGATATGATCCAACCCCACAAACAATTTTTACTGTTTTTGGACACCACTGGATTTGATGACACCCTGATTGTGGACCTCCTGATATCACCAGAGACCTGTTTCCTTACGTACTTTACTAAGTACCTAAGGCTGGTCTCTTCTGAATGGACAGAATTTGTTACCACACACTCTGAGTACACTGTAAGTACTTCAGTGAACAGATTCAGCAATAAGGAAAAGGTACACTTAGAGGAAGAATTATCTGACGGAGATGAAGACACATTATCTGTTCATAAAGAACTTGATACTGTAAAACATTCTGGCCCAGAACCTAAAATATCTGATGGACTAACGTTACTTCATCAGTATGGGGATGATGAGGAGGAGGAGGAAATTGCTGATGAAGATGAAGAGGATACCAGTATGGGAAAAACTCCTATCCACAGCGTAATTGATCATTCTATAGATTCTCAATTTGATGTTTTCCCCACACAAAGCAATAAGTGTTTGGAAGAAACAATGTCTGTGTTAATTAGAGTTAGATTTAAAATAAAGAAATACCAGGATTCCAGTATATTACCATATGATCCTACAGTTTTAATTCATTTAATAGAGGAAGTGGAAGAAATATATGAACAGTAAATACTGCTATCATTGAGAAATACAGAAAAAGATACAATGTATGTAATTTTATGAAGATTGTTTATGCACATCACTGTTTTTACTTTGATAGAAGTCTGTGCCGATTTTCTTGAAAACTGAAAAACAAATTAAAAAGGAGTTTTTAAATTTTACTTCTGAATCATAATTTTATATGACTGGACCTCTTTTTATTTATTGTTTTGACTTTCTCCAAAAAACTACGGAGCCAGTATTAATTAAACGTGCCACAAAGCATAACAAAGATCAGGATATTGAATTTCTTCTAGTCTAGAGGTCATTCCCATTTTCAAGGCAAGATAATTAGTGAATATATTTCAAAGTATAATCTTTTTACAATCTTACATTGAATTTGTAAACTTTGAATCAAGATTCTGGATAAACAAGTTGAAAAGGCATTATAGGTCACCTGAAAACCTGACCCAGTGACCATGAAATTCACAATTTTGGAGGAGACACCCTTGCTCATCATAGTTATGAATTAAGTTTGCTTGCCTAATACCCAGGGGCAGATTTTTTAAAAAGAATTATTGCATCATTGCATTTTCACTATACCTTTAACAGCCCCCCCCCCCCCCCGAACCCATGGGGCCATGTCAGTTTCATATTTTTGCCCATTTCAGCTGGTCAGACAGAGACAATGCAGACAAAGTGTCTTGTCAAACTGAAAGTATCCATAAGGGGATTTAACCAGAGACCATTGGTTAATGACAAAACACTTATGACTACTGAACCATGTGCTCCACTTATTAGGGATGTGCGATTTTATCAGTATACCAGTATATCGCGATTTTTTGTTGCGTGATACGTATCGTGATACGGAGACCTAAATAATGGTCTTTAGGTACATATTATAAAGTCCAGAAATTATTCATTTATTTGTTCAATCTTTCAAATTACAATTACAGAAAGTATAAAAAATGTTGTAAAATTAGTGAAAAGAACGGCATTTCACCGTCCAAACATCATTGATTTTATATACATAAAAATTTCAAGAAAGTAAAATTTTGTTTTTCTAGCATATTTTTTAGAAAAATAATGACTTTTCATAGAAAATCATTGTAAAAACTGCTTTTAAAAATATCACGATATTATCGTGATATTGTGGGAAAAAATCATGATATATCATGACACGAAGTTTTTGGAAATACCCATCCCTACCACTTGTGACTACTGAGTCATGTGCTAGACTATCTCTAGATAAGGATTGCTTAAAATATGTATGTCAAATTTAGTCCCAATTTGGATTTTCATTCACATACCCATCCATCATGAAGGGATTTTTGACTGACATGAGAGTTTTAGTCTATGGGCATCTTATGTTTGCCTCATTGGCTGAATGTCTACCCTGATAATTAAATGAAATATGCATCAATTTTTCCAATGTGATTTAGTTCTTAAGTATTGTGAAGAATTCATTCGTACAAAATCTTTCTAATTCCCTTTCTAGATGTAACATCTTTGCAAGCCAAGGGTGACTATCACCACCCTTGGCTAGCAAAGATGTGCACATATGGGCTTGTACAAATTTATCTTGAATTTGAAACCTTGTCCCTTTCTTAATATCCTGTAATAATTCTGTCCAAAATTCGTGGTCTACAAAGACTTGACATGGAAGTATTAACATCACAGTGAGCTTGTACATCACTTCTTCTCAAGATTAAATAAATTTACTGGTATAGTTGAACAGCAGCTATTTCAAGTTCAGTACATAAGAATGATATTTCACAATGCATGTTAACCACTCATAATCATCTGGAGTTAAATTGGGAAAAAACAATCTGTACATTTGTCATACCAAGAAATAAAATGACCCTTCAATTACATTGTGCAGATGAATTAAAACTGAATAAAAATAGTAAACAGAGCATTGAGAATCTTTATTGGTTCTTTTATTCACAACATGTATATAGCTGATACTTAGAATATAAGAGATACATCTCTGTTTACAGGTTTATCATCTGACCTAGTTTATAACTTGAGTTCTACATCTTAAAGTGTCGACACCTCAAAGGCACCACTCACTCATAGTAATGGAAATATCACAGACATCCAGGATCATCTTGTCATGCTCAGACAGATGACATTTCATAAAACAAAAAATTGTAAACTTTATAGATATTTGTTGATTCAAAAGCACTTAAAACACAAGTCTATATACAGATGAAACTAGAGATTGGAATATTCTGTCTCAGCGTTTAGTCCTTTTGCACATACCGGTACCAATTCACAGTACACATACCACTTTCATCTCTTTGAAAAAAAATATTAACTTACAACAACTGTACAAGTTCCACAAAAATTAATAAGCAAATAATAACTGCAATTATTAAAGGGACATGACTCACTAGGTAGCTAAGTAGCATGAAACAAATGAATGAAATGTTCAATTTTTAAGATACATGTACAGACAAAAAATTGTTGCATGTATTGCATATATGTATATGGCACTAAGAAAAAATGTGTTTGTTTCCAAAAATTAACAGCTAAAATCTAATTAAGTTACCTGTAACATATAAATGTGTATAAATTGTATGTATTATGTATTCGCTGGAAGAAATGCTTCTTCAAGTTAAAAAAATTGTTATTTTTATTATTATTATTACTCAATATCTAAACAAAATATGCATGTATTGGAGATTCGTCATGTAGGAACATGGAATAACTAATGAGTGACATATGTTCAAACATGTACAAATGACATAAACATTTCAACAGAAAAAAATGACATAAACATTTCAGCAGAAAAAAATATCACAAGAGACAAACTTTCCTCTTACAGCATTCACACAAACATCAACATTACATAGTCATATTCTCAAAAATCCTTTTTAAAATCTTAAGAAAACTAATTAATAGAGGATTCAAACAAGTCTAGAACAGATATTTATTCACTTAGAACACATATCACCCATTCATAAATGCATATTTAAATGCAGAGTTATGAATGAAGTAGTGATGGGCTTAGTACAGCTGCAGAACTGTAGCGTTATGGTTTTATATATTATTCTACCTTTCCCTACACTTGGTAGTGATTAACATTTTCAGCTCTTCAATTATTCTATTAAACAATCTTTCAAATAAAACTCACATACAATGATAAAAAGGAAACAAAACATTGTAAATGTTTCCACACTTTCGTTTGAGCACCAGATATTATTTTGTTCAGGAGTATTTTGGAAAATTTCTATGACTTTGTCTCTTTTCTCTCACTGTATGGTTGACTGATCTTTGTCTAAATCAGCATACTCTCCCCTGGCAGTCTTCTTCTTGATGACCACAAACAGTCCCCCAAACATGATGATGATGACCGGTATCCCTAGCCCCGCTGATATCACCCCCACCACTAGGGAGGAAACTTTGTCCATGGGAGGGGCACCATAGCCAAGCTGGGCAGTCCTTTACACAACAACATAACAGTAATTATTATGTATTATAAATACCTAAGATGGGTATTTTCAAATTATGAGAAATTCATTGTCTATATTTTATCCGTTTTGTACACTTCAAAGGCCCGTTAAAACCTCTGGTATTAAAAGCCATTTTTAGAAAAAATACACACACATATTATCAAAATCAAAATGTATAGTATATATAAGAAATTTTTTTTTTAACTTTTAAGCATCAATCTTACCAAGAAGTATAGTTAGTTTTAGTGAATCCACCATCTTTTTCCAGACCAAATGTGAAATTTGTTGCATATCTTGATACCATCTGAATATCGGAGAAATATGAATATAAAATGCTGTTATTCAGGAAATCATCTACATATTCAGTATATACGAGTCCAGTGGTGTCAACTTTCGTGGCTACTGAGCGAGCCCTGGCAGACTTTAAGTAACAAACAGGCTTCCATTGTAAATAGCCTCCATTGTCCTCATTCCCTGGCCGAGTTAACCAGTTAGATACCTACAACATAAATGTATTGTGTATTTTGCTGACAGTGATACTAGGTTCACTTTATTATCTTAATAAGATTATTCTCAAACATTGAATCAAATATTACATTTTTTCCTAGTTCATTCGATATGTTTGTTTAATTTTTTAATGAAGCATTAATTATATTTCTTTGAGGTATTCCAAATTTTTACATTTGCATGAGATTCATATTAATATATTTAAGGAATGACTCTAATGAAGCGGATTATAAAAAAGCGTAAACTGACCCAAACCAGATTATACTCGATAATTTGGCCAAGAATTAGAGTCATTCCTTATAATTTAATTTTAAAATAATTAAACAACTTTTGATGTAAAATTGTGTTGCTTTTTACGAGTTTAAATTTATCGCGCAATAATACAACCTTAGTAACGGAAGTTAAGTGAAGCGAGGGGAGGTAATAACTGATACATAGATCTAGCAGCCATGATGTGTGTTTACATGAGGTAAGATCGAGTAAGTGTTTGAAGTTAAAGATACAGTTATTAAATCTTGAATTTTCCATGGATTCCGAGGAGTGGAAATGAGGGGATTGATGATTAAGCTGGTCGTCAAGGGGGTGTGTCCCCATACCATACCAAATTATATAAATTGTTTTGCGTTCCTTTTTGGAAATCAACCAATGAGAGGCGAGAATATAAACAAAATTAAATTATTTACAGGTAATTAATTAAAATACTCTAATGAAACTGATCTGCATACCTGAAAGACTCCAGGTGTGTACTCATCATCTACAGACTTCTTAGTGACGATGGACATGGGTTTGTCTGTGGAGTCCTGCCCTATGAGGACGGCCTCTAGACCCCACCGAGCTGAGGAGGAGTTCCCTGTGTCTATGTCCTGGAGGGTAAAATCAATCTGAGTGGACTCGGCATCATACTGAAGGTGGGGTAACTCTGTAGATCTGTCACTGTGATCAAACAAGTGAAACTGAAAAAAGACACAATACATATAATAATTATTCAAATCATAATTAAATCATAATTATAGGGAAAGCATCTTTAGGTTTAGTAGATTCAAGTAAGTTTAAATTAAGGCCTCAGAAACGAACTTGGAGTCAATTGAGATTGAAAGAGAATATAATTCAACTATGTATGAACAAGTTTTCATGTATTATTTATTTTAATTTCAATATTTTAGCATTGAATGTAGTATTCTAAATTTCGGACACAGAAAATGAAACGAAAGTCTATAGGACTTTGAAGTTAGTTTCACACACTGTAATTAAGATTCTCTAGGACACACTGTTGCTTTTTTGTGCAGATTTCTTCTTGACTGGAGTATTTAGGGTGCCATGAAAATTACAGATCATACCGGTAGTTATTGCAAATTTGAATATCACTTGTATAACAACACATTTGAGTATATGTAGATCTAACTCTATTAAAGACACATTGTACAAATATATTTCAGGTTGTCAGGATTAAGCTGTGAATATTATTCTTTTACTATCTAGTAATCTTTGAAACATTGTATTGTTTCACCTGTTTTGTTTCATTTAATATATTTTAGACTTGCTTTCATTATAATTAATATATTTGTATTACTGCAAAATTAACAACAGTCAAACATACATGATATACATGTACTAAACAAGGTAAATGATAAACAGATGGACAAAAACAATATTTCCAAAGAATAACTTAAGAAATTTTAAGGTAAAGAAGAAAATTCTGAAACTCAGTGATAATTACCTGTAGCAATAAAGACTCATTGTAAAAAGCCCTCTCCATCACTTCTCCACTAGTTTTGACCTTCATCACGATGAAATCATTGGATGACCACATAGTTAGATCCTGCCACTCAAACTTGTCAAAGTCATACACTCTCCAGGCAGTGCTGTTGATGTTGTAGTAATTTATATCGGCTTTGTCAGCGGTGTCATTGTACTGGAACAGCTGTTAGAATGTAAATAATCAAGCTCATTTTATTGCCCATTTTCTGAAGTCTTTATCATGTTTATGTACCTCCCTCCCAAAATGCATTAACTGACACATGGTAAAGGGTTGATGCTTCAAGAGGGTGCAAATTAGAACAAAGATATCATAAAACTAACATACAGATAAACAGACAGACATAAAAATTTATGTCATATATTGTTTATTAAAGAGTCAATTAAACTTAAGCTTTATCAAATATGGCCATATGTGAGAAAATACTTAATACTTTTTCTTCTCGAAAAAAAAAATTGAACATATGTCTTAAAACTAGAAAAATACTCTTATAGATATGCAAGTGTATCTTATATCACTACCATTTGACTAAAACTTAAATAAAGATATAGTATGTGTCATGCATATTACTTGCCCTTGTAAACACAACCCCAAATGAATATAGCTCCTTTACACCATCTGGTTTGATTATAGCTTCCCTTCTTTCTGTTTCATTTTTAGAAGCAATCTTTTTACAGTCAATCTGAAGCTGGAATTTGCCTTTTGGTTTGTTAGTCTTAATTACTAGTGCTGAAGGTGGACCCCCTATTGCTGATATGATATAGTGCAGAATGTCATTATCTCCCTTGGACACAATGTAAGCAAGACCAGGACTACATTCTTCACATTTCTGTGACTCACAGCCAGGGTTAAAGAATGTGGTCATCTACAAAAAATATTGACAAATATTACTTATACAAAACAAAAAATAAATGCTTAAAAATTATTTTAAATAATATTAAGAAACTACTTTCTGGAATGGCATTTTTTTTAACCATATCACTTTGAAATTAGCTAGACTCTTACATTAGGTCATTTTAAAACAGCCTTAATTAATCTGAATTATCTAAAGATTGTGACAAATGATATCACTTCTATCAATTAATAATTTAGTATATAGGCCTTTGCTTCTATCCATTAAAAGAAAGAGAGAATAAATTTCAAATACTTCAGAAAAGAGTTTTTATACTATCACCTTGCTGATCAATAAGGCTGTCGTAACTAGACTCTGGGACCAACTTGGTTATTAAAACACTTCTAAACCCACTTGCCCAATGAAAATTCTACATGTACTGCATTTTGACATTTTTATAGAGTAGAGAGACTATTGGCAAGAGTTTAAAAAATAAAGATCTCAAAGAGATAACTTTCTACATGCATGTTTAATGGTTAGGGCCTGCATGGATAACGGCCGAGATAGCTCAATTGGTAGAGCATCTGACTAGCGATGCAGAGGTCCCGGCTTTGATTCCTGGTCCAGACATACATTTTTCCTGTTACAGATTTGGTGCCATTGACCACCCTGGGAATTGCAAATGAAAGTCTTGCCAAAGGCTTATAAGAACTTAGGTTGTGTCTTCGAGGGGGAAGACCATTTTAGGAGGGAGGAAGTAATGATTTTAGATATGGATGTTGGCCTGGATTGTTCAGATTGTAGAGCACCTGACTAGTGATGCAGGGGTCTCCCAGGTTTGATTACCCGCCCAGCCATACATTTTCTCCTTTCCTGTTAGAGATTTGTCATGGTTTGATTCATGGATATCGGCCCCAAGATAGCTCAATCGGTGGAGCACCTGACTAGTGATGCAGGGGTCCTGGGATCAATTCCTGGTCCAACTTTTAATTTAATTCTTTTCTGTAACAGATTTTGTGCCATTGACCACCCCTGGAATTGCAAGTGATTGTCCTGGCAGGGGCTAAAAAGAACTTAATTGGGTTATATGTGTTCGAGGGGGAAGACCATATTTTAGGATAGCTGCAGATCTGTAGCTCTCCGAAAAAATATACATTGATAGACCGGAGAGCTACAGAGCCACCCATTGAAAAAAATGTATATTTATTGCGCACAAAAAAGTGCGTTCAGTTCTCGATTTATTTCTCCGTGTTTTTAAAACTGCAATATCAAAATATTACTAACCGTGTGTTCCTAACATATTTTTTGACCCTTTCCACAACAAAACATTCCTCATAATTGTTGTTAATGGTCCTCCTGGTCCTGATTTGCAATCATCGAACATTTCGCTTATTTATACTGCCATTTTGGTTTCAAAGATAATTCGGTCCAATATACCTCATGCAGATGTCAACTACGAGAGTACTTGATAGAGGAGAGAGGAATTTTTTGAAATCTTCCATTTTTTGCAATTGAGGTAAGAATTTGGAAGAATTAATCAAGAACCGAGCGCACTTTTTTGTGCGCAATAAATATACAGTTTTTTCAATGGGTGGTACTGTAGCTCTCCGGTCTTTCAATATAATTATATTTTTTCGGAGAGCTACAGATCTGCAGCTAATTTTAGGAGGGTCAGATTGTAATGTTTGGGCCATGCATAATGGCCTCGATAGCTCAGATGACTAGTGATCAGGGGTTTGATTTCTGGTCCAGTCATACATTTTCCCCCTTCCTGTTACACATGTCACATGTAGAATCAAAAACATGTTATTCCTCAATGTTATTACACCTATATTTAATTTTAATGTCTGCTTGATCTTAGATAAGTATAACTGAGATTCATCATACTTACACTCCGAACTGGCCCATCACTATGAACAAAAGAAAAGCAAAAAATTGCTATAAAGCTTTTGAATAGCATATTTCTGCTCCACAGCTCCCCAAACAGATGACAAGATCCGTCACATGACTAGCATTCATGATCACATGGTAACAAAATTAAGAATTTCCGAACCCGATCTAAATTATAAAACATCTTTGGTTGTTAAAATTCCCTTCTTTTTATTTTATGTTTGTTTCATTATGATGAAATATATGAAAATATTTGAATTTGTTAATGATGTTCCTATCTCATTATACCTTATTTTATTTTGTTGATATAAAATATAACGTGACTTCCGGCGGGAAATACAAATGGAATATGGCTCCTGAACCGAACGTGAATTTGGACGGTAGAGTATTTATCATTTTAGCAAAAGAATTTTTGAAATCCGAAGTATAGAAAACTATATTTAAACATTCACTACTAAATGATTTTTCCCATCTTTATAATTCATGATATCAGAGGATGGTTGGGAGGAAGATGTAATTTTTTGTTTTGAATTGGTGGGCAAATGACAAAGTGTCAAACTCGAAGCTAATCAATCTTTGATGTGTGTGTTCTTAAAAAGCTTCGTACTTTGGTATATTTAATCTCTCAATGCCATCACACACTAGCATTTCATATGAAATTTGCCCCCCCCCCCCCCTCTCCCGACACCCTGAATCTCCAGTCATGCAGGTGCTCTATCAGCTGAGCTATCTGGTCACCAGGAATCATACCCATCTGACAACCACATTCTGTCCTTCTTAAAATGTATTTGGCTCCGAAAGACACCAATCCAGGCTCTTTCCTGGCCGGTCTTTCACCTTTTACCTCCAGGGCATTGTATGGCACCAAATGTATAATAGGAAAGGAGAAAAATGTGACATATGATACAGGATCAAGATTCAAACCCAGCCCCCCCCCCCCCCCCCCTGAATCTCCAATCAGGTGATCTATTAACTGAGCTATCTGGATACTGGTGATCAAACCCATCTGACCACCAAAGATGTATACAGATGTTTCAACAGAGGGATGGGGGTCAAGTCCTGGGTACATGTAGGGGTATGCAGCTCATACACTTTTTGCCCAAATTTATTGAACTTAAAAATCTTACTAGCACAGCTGTTAACACTTGCAATTTCAAATGTGTGTTTAAGTATAGGCTTTACCTTAAAATAATATTGTAATTAATTTTTTTTCTATCATGTTTATGATGATATTAGTTTTATTTTTATCATTGCACATTTTAGTTGAAGTAAATATTTGACATGGAGAAGACACCAGTTTACACCACACCCAGTTCTGAGACCATTGGAGAGCCACCTATCAAGAAGCACAGACTCATCAATAGTGGATCAACTCCACAAAGAAATGGCCTGACCCCCGTCAGACAAAGACTAGAACAACAGAGAAAGAAGCTCCTAGAGAAAGATACCAGTGCTCAGCAGGAGACCAGCCCTACACTGCAGAAACTGAGGGACACTCCAGGTCTGTAGGAATCTTACTCCAGGATTCCTTAACAAAAAATAGCTTAATAAGCACACTAACCTATCAGTTGGTATCCCTAGGTTCTGATCTGCTCTTTTCTTAAAAGGGTAGAGGACCACAGGACCAGATAAAAATACTTGCCTTTAATACAAAGATCTGATGGAATATGTGACATATGAGATTTGAAATAAGGAATTATATCAAATCTATATTCCCTTCTATCACTACCCTTTGTGTTCATCTGTGTGCAAAATAAATGGAGACGATCTTGAACCCTGAAACAGACTTATACTTATATTTCATTTATAACTAAGAAACCGTTTCATTGTGTTCTTCAGGCCTTAGATGTCAATCTGAAAAAAATGTCATATTCAGCTCTTTTAAAGTGGAATTATCTTTTACATGTATTTACATAGGTCGAGTGAACAAAGACAAACATGCCTTGATCAACAAGCACCTTGATACAAAGCACAACATGGATCGACTCAGTGTAGGAGGCGGAGTATCACTGTGGCCAGAAATGGAGGACATGCGTCTCTCGCTTCCTGAAATACTGAAGCTGGGAGCTCTCTGCTTCTCATTGTTTGCAATGGTTATCTTATTATTCACAAAATTACATGGTGAGTAAGATAGGGGATTAAACAAAGCAACAATTTTAAAAATTCTACCAGTCAAGCCTCAATATATAAAACATGAATAATGTAAATTCTTATAGTTGAAATCCTGGGTTTAAATTGCTTAAGTAAGGGGTTTGTATATGCATTGATTATTTCTTATTCAGGTGAGCAGATGAGCCTCTTGTTCTCATTAATGTTTTCACACAGACAAAACATATTCCTCCTTAAAAATTTGTTTTATATTTTGCAGGTGATGTTGTGCAAAATCTATTGCTGTTTCACCATAGACTTGTAGACTTCAGTAATAAACATGGTATAAATGTTACAGCAACAAGTGATAAATTCAGATCATCTGTGATAGAATGGCATCTTCATCATAAACTTTTACTAGTAGGTTCTAGCATTGCAAAAAATTACAGTAAAACTTGGTTATAGCGAAGTCCTGGGAACCTTTGAATTTAATTCGCAATATCCGTAATTCGTTGTATCCGTATGACGAATTCGTATAAGCATTATAGCGAATTCGCAATATGCATGCTTTCCTTTAAGTATTACTACCAAATATGTTAGGGAAGCAAATATTACAAAACATATCGATAAATAAGGTTTTATTATGAATTGAATTTTATATTCAGATGCTAAAAGGAAATAAGGTCATTTCTTAAAATAATCTTTGTAAGTTCGTTATAAAAGAGTAAATTTCATTATATTTTACCTCAACGGGAATCAAAATCAGTTCGCTATATCCGTAAATTCTTTATATCAGAGTTCGTTATAACCGTAAAAATTTACAAAGATTTGTTAATAATTTTGCCGGGGACCCAGAAAAACTTCGCTATATCCGTGACTTCGCTATATCCGTGTTCGTACTAAACGAGTTTTACTGTATTGGTGTATGGTTTTGAGGTTTATACAAAGAATTGTTTCATAATACATCCACTACACATAGTGCACACCTCCACACATTTTCCTTGTCATTTGTCATTTATTGATTTATTTAGTGATTTGGTTTTCTTTAGGATGAGATTCATGCCCGTTTTGATGTCAGTAAGTTCCCTATGACCTACGTGATGTATATAGTTGTATATGGAGGAGGAATGGGTACGCTGGTCTACTTCCTGGCTGACAATGTCTGGTCCAAAAGTAAACTCTCACCACGCCGAATCAAACAATGGTAGGTCTTCTGTTAATTCTACTATATTATTTCAAGTATCAATTTTTGTTAATTTTCCCCACGAAAATCATTGAAGTTATGTATGCAGTTTTTTAATTGATATTGCCATAATACATTTATTAGCTTTCCTCCTGACTGATACACTGTATTGCAGTGAATTTTTCATATATTTCCTCTCCCATTAGTTGTGTGCATATTGAAAATGGACTATCAGTACTTTAACAGAGGGTGTGTGAATAGCATATCTTTACTACATGTATCACTAATGCTTGTATATTTCTAGGACAAGCCTGCTCACACTGATTGGTACTTGGACAGTGGCCCTGACCTACATGCTTGTTTGTGCTTACATGGTGGAAATGGCAATAAAAAATAATGTTCACAAAATTACAGAAGTTCTGGTACGATTCAGTTTTCTCCTGGGAAACATTGTTGTCCTTTTTATTCTAACCAACAAAATAAAGTAAAATTTCATGTTCAAGTAAAACATTCTACTACATGTATCCCTGAGTATAATAATATATGTATCATTTTTATCCTTTTTAAAATTGTTCAGTCATTTTGCACTGCATAAATGTTTTATCATTGACAGGGAGAGGCCATAGCAACAGACTTTGACCTTAGTGTTTTACACGCTGTTGTGGAGTACTGGAGAACTCGTTGCTTAGCAACAGGAACTATTAGGGTCATGGGTCTTCTGGAGGTCAAGGACTTGTTGTTCTATCTACAGTACTACCTTGTCCCCGTGGCTACAATACTTGGGACTCCTGTCATTAAACTTGTAGTTTCACTTTATCACATATATAGTTATAAACACAAATGAACCCCTCAAAATTGATATTTGTAATTCAATGCTTAGGCCAATACATGTATTACACTTACTTAACTTTTTACAGGGTAAAATGTTAGGTCAAAACTTACAGGTTATGCTAAATTAATTATGGAAAAAAATGTCAGCATCAGTGATGTATTAATGTTTTTCTTTGTGTAAAAATGTGGTTCATTTACATTTCCACTTTCATTTACATGGAAACGATGAGGAGTATCAATCATCTGCAATTTATATTTTCATGTTTTACCCCGAACATTGATTAGATGTGCTTTGTTGAAATTTTATTTATAAACTTTCTACTGCTAAATGTTCTTATATGTACAGTGTATTAAATATGTCTTTTGTAGAACCTCTCTGACTTGCTGTTTTAGCTCAACTGAAATTTTCTTTTAAAAAAGTGCCTTAGGCCTGTCTGTCAACTTTTTGTTTTCTGCAACACAGCCTCTACTCAAAAGAAATCTTTACACCAAGAATCACTTTTTAATGTTTCTCTCACCAAGTTGCCTAGTTGTAGGGCAGTCGCTTCATGATCATGCAGGAACCCCTGGTTGGATTCTTGTTTGCTACACTGCCTCAAACCTAAGAAGTTAACATAGGTACTGACTGTTCCCTTGTGGGGCTTCAAGCATTAGAAGTGAAAGTTCAGAGGACTTTAATTCAAATGAGACCTTAAAAAATAAGGCAAGGTCCTGTGTTATGGTAGGCATTGATTTGATAAAGATCACGCACTGCTCAATGGCCATGTGTGCCAAATACATGTATAGTTTAGGTGTATAGGTATAGGTAAATTCAAAGCCCTTCAGTGGTATATGGTGACACTGTATATCAGTAAAAAAATTTTTGAATTGGACATGAAACAACAATCAACATTTCTTATTTAAAGGTAGACCAGGATCCAAACTATGCATTACTGTTAACCGGCTTTTATTTTCATGTAATAAATATCTACAAGCTTTGTGACCCCTTTTAACTCACAAATATTAATCACTTAACCATATTTTCTGTGCATATGTACACAAAAATTTTTAAATCTTTATGGATTTATTTCAATCTACCGAATCATAAATTAAGATGGATAACAGTAATCTGTGTGACCTTGACTTTGTCAAAATAAGCTTTGTTCACTGCAATGCAAACAATGTGGTAAGTGCACAGGCACTTCTTTTGGTAATAAATTTTTAACCTAAAAGTATAATAATAACATCATGTGTTGTTATTATAATATTTTTTTTGGAAAGTATCAACTTTTAACACTTTTCATTTTAAAAGGTTTATAACTGGATAAGAATTATTTGTTACATTGAATTTTATAAATTACCAGTGATCAAGGTCAAAACACACCATTTAAATCTTGAATGAAGTTTGAAATTTAAAAATTTTCTCTTAGAAATATATGAAACACTGTTAAGAGCCATTCTCTGTAATGATTTGAAATTTTATATAGAAGCTGTGGCACGCATAGTCTCAGAATTTCTTCAAACTCTCTATGATAAAAGTCATTGATACCCTAAACTGAAATCAGGCAAAAATCGGTTGCTATGTTTTATAGTTACCATGGTAACATGTCTTAAAGATCGAAAAATGGCATTTTTTAACATGTTTAGAGCCCCATAGTTAACATTTGCAGCAAAGCAAACAATTGGCAATGACTGTTTCCAAAAGTTGAAGGTCAGATGTCTCAAATGCATGATAAACATGTTTGGTAAATCAACTATTACATACGTTACTATGGTAACAAAGTATTCAAAAGTAAAAAAAATATTCATTGAATTTTGTAAAGTCATACACGTAAAAATAAAAAGCAATTATAGGATGAAATGTGACCAAATAATAGAAAAAAGAGCCTTGAAACATATATCAAGAACAAAATATGATATTTTATTTTGGTTGGCAATGGTTGCCAAGGTTTTTATACCACTGTAAGGGAGCCTTCAAAGTAACACTCTGTATGTTTAAATCTGATCCTATCTTTAAAAAAAAAGCACATTTCCTCATAACTAATGATCAATTTTATAAGATGTTGGTGTGCTCCACATTTTCCCATTTGAAAAAATTCAGATAAGATTCTTTAAATAGAGCGTTGCTATGGAAATAAGCAGAAAATATATGCTTAAAAACCTGAAAAATATTTTCTTTCCTTGGATACGTACCCTTAAATGTAGATTCCCAAAACTTTTATGATTGATATTTATTAAAAGCTAACTTGACTTTTAATTTTGACTATCATCCAATCTCTAAGTGGATGCAAGAAGTTGGCACACAGGGTTTAATATTGATATAAAGTTCACAAAATCGAACATTTTCCCTTCTTGGTAACCATAGCAACAGTGTTGTTTTATTCATCAAATTTTATCAATATATGATATTCAACTTCAGTTCTGACAGATAAGTACTATTCAAGCTGAGTCCTTTCATTTGTTTCTTGATTAAATGGCAATTTAAGTCTTAATGCAGTGAAAAATAATTCACTTTTAAGCACTGGTACTTTGTTTCCATGGTAACACTGCAAAGTAGCAATTATACCCAATTTTTCTTATGGTTTTGGTGTTGCAAGGTCCTAAGGATGCATATTTGCCAGTCTTGAATTTTCATGTTTCTCCTCAAGACAGTAGTATTAACCCAATCTTAGTTACTGGTTTTGCATGGTTACACTGTGTTACCATGGCAACCATAAAAGTTATTTATAGAATAATATTGCTTATACTTATATACTTAAAGTCAAACATTTTCATTGTTTTTCTTAAGTCGTTGATTGAATTTGAGCATGTAACACCTACCATTAGTGAATACGAAGTGTTTTTCAGCATATTTCAGCATTTTAAATGTATTCCAAATGTACCCTTGGTTACCACTTACTAGGAGATATATTCTAAAGAGTTTCTTTATATTATAAGTGACATCAAGGTGTTATGTTTTTGTGAGAATGGTTTGTTTGCTTTTTCTAGTTTTTATTAAGCCACAGTCAAGATTTAAAGTGGCTGAAAATCTCGATTTTTCAAACTTTTCCGGCTGTTGCCATAGCAACCGAGACACATAGCAACGAAATTTTGTTTGATATTTGTTTCTGGTGTCAAGTACTAAGCATGGTTGAAGTTTCGTCAAAATCGGTGACCATGCGTGGCAACGAAGTTTAAGTGGTTACAGAGAATGGCTATTAAAAGGTATCAACATGTATTCCATCTCTGAAAACTTTCAATTATATACTTCTACCAGTAATACTCATTTATTGCAAGATGCAGCTAGAAAAAAAACTTTATATGTAAACTTGAACCAGATCAAATTACATTGAGTCAAGGTCACAGCACAACTTACATAGTGTACTTTCCTGGCAGTAACCATGAGGTTGCCAAATTAACTTTCAGATTCAGATCAGGACATATCTAAGGTCATAAGCAATCTTTGCATCACATATTAGTTTCCAGTGTACTTTCCTGGCTGTAACCACGAGGTTGCCAAATTAACTTCCAGATTCAGATCAGGACATATCTAAGGTCATAAGCAATCTTTGCATCACATATTAGTTTCCAGTGTTCTTCATTATATAAAGATATGGCCTGCATGGACACGTTGCACTCATATGGAGAGATGTACAGACCAGGATGCATCTAACACATATTCATTTAAAAAAAAAAAGAAAAGAAAATTCAATTGTATAGATTTTATTTCTTTTTTTTTTGCTTCAGCAACACAACACAGGATTGAATATAAAACAGTACATGCTTTTCCTTCCATTTCATACAGTTTATTTTTTGCTTCAGCAAAACAACACAGTTTTGAATATAAAAGAGTTCTATTTTTCCACACTCTCTCTCTTTTGTTCAGCCATTCACACATATATTATTGTTTATTTTTCATTCCTCTGGTCCAGACTTGATATTCCCTGTAGATCTGACTGGTATTGATGCTTGTTCTGTCTTCAGCTGGTCCATACTTGCAAGGTTTTTATATACTGTCATAGCCTGGCAAAAAATAAAATGGTCCATTGTAAACAATGCTTACTGATTAGATTTTGACTTTCTGATCTTCATTATTTTTTCCAATTTCATTCAATTTTCATGAAATTCATAACTCCATATTGTAGACTAAAATTTAGCCTTAAGTGAGCTGTGATCTAATCATAATTAAGAATTTGTATATTTCCTTTATACTCCTATATAAAACTCCTTTTATGGCCCCATCCTATTCCAGGTAATGAACAAACTTGAATCTACACTACCAGAGGATGCTTCAAAATGATATGACTAGTCAGGGATTTGCTGTTTTAGAGAATAAAATGTTTTTCTACATGTTAAATTTTGTTTTCCTATTATGCCACCCCCCTTTTAACCTCCTATGAGATTCTTTATGAATTTGAAAACTGTTCTTTTTCTCAAAAATGTTGTTGAACTACAAAAAATTGTGACAGGTCATCAGGAAGATAAGGTAAACATAAGATATAAATTTCACTTTAACAAAGAAATATAAAATTTGATTAGAAAAGCTCAATTGAGGCTTTGACTCAGGTGAGCTAAAAATTAACAACAAGTTTTCAATTTAGAAACTAGAAGAAGAAATGTGCTTAGTAATATTTGACAATCCACATTTCTTACTGTGTAACGGACTATATTATCCTTGTTTTATTTAAAATCTGTTGTAACATAAATTATACAACATTCCAAAAAGAAGTTGGGTTTTGACTCACCTGAGCAACCATCCCCCCGACATCCCCAGAATTGGCAGGTAGAATGACGGTGTTGTTTGTTTTGGCCAGTTTACCAAAAGCATCCACATACTGTTCTGCTATACTGTATGCCACGGCATTCATTCCATTCTACAATGAGATTTCAGTATTAACAATAATCAACAAGTATTTTACAGTCAAATGTGTTAAATCCTCACCCCACAGGCTTCACAAAGATTGGCCAGATTTGACATTTTAGACAACTAAATTAATCCAAATACACTTTACATGTGGATAGAATGTTTTTTCAGCAATAGGAGATTTGGACTATACTATATCAAACAAACTTCATTGTATTTTCATTTCTTCACAAACAGGAAAAGCACACACCACACATGTAGATTTATGTTCATCGATATGAAACTTCTTGTTTTTAAAAATATTGAAGCAAATGAAAGCATTGAAATTTTATTTTGTTAAAAATATAATTAATGAACTGTTAGTTTGTTGAGGAATGTAAATGTGTATTACAATATCAATAAAGATCAGACATACATGAATGAGTATATTTCTGAGCATATATCCTGACCTGTTTACTGATGGCCTCAGACACCTGGACGACCGCCCGGGCCTTGGCCTCCGCCATTGCTCTAATGGCCTCCGCTTCACCTGAAGTTTGAAAGAATTTAGTGAGCTTTACTTTTAGTGTTAACATATTGTTTTCCCTTTTTGAAAATTCCCCAAAAATGTAAATTTTTCATTTGCTTTGTTGCTTATCTCATTCTAGTTAGGGTTTTCATTAATAAGAGGTAGTAGGTGGTTTACATTTTTGTCGTTCTTTGGAATCACTAACATCTTTCATAATCATATAAATGATATAGTATATTGAATTCCTACCATTTGCGATGTTAATTTGTTCGATCTGGAAGGCCTCTGAATTCAGAATCTTTGCTTTCTTTTTACCCTCAGCTACATTTATTTCAGCTTCCCTGATACCTATTGAGAGTATAAATAAATGTGAAGAATATTTAAACATCAACATTTACTTAAGCCTCTCTCAAACCTGTTGAGAGAACAAATTAATATAAAGATTATTCAATCATCTATGTTACTTTCAAACATCAGAGTAAAATCATTTTTAAAGTCATTTAAAAATCCTTCCTATTTCCATTATACCAAGTCATATACCTAAGCCAACAATCAAAAGAAAAAAAGCTTCAATTTAAAAACAACTCTTGAAGAAAATTGCCCAAAAGAGCTAAATACATGTAATGGTAGTTCTTAACACATACCTACCTGTACCTGCATTCCAAGTTAAACTTTACTACACGTATGCTTTTTTACATTTGTGACCATAAGTATATTTAGAACAAGTATAATTTTTGAAATCAAAATAGAATAGGATGAAACATTGAAAGATTGTGTCACTGATATTGAGCAGCTGTTAAGAAGACATTAATAAGCTTACATACCCTCAGATTCCAAGATGCTAGCTCTCTTTTTCCTCTCAGCTTCCACTTGCATCTGCATAGCTTCCTGGATTCTATGGGGTAGAGTCATGTCCCCTACAAAATACATCAAATTTTAAGTCATTTCGAAACAAAATGATTTTATCACCTCCCACAATACTCAACCTTCTAATTTCTGTCTGTAGGGAGAACAATTATTCCCTAAAGTTCATCTAGATACAGCAAAACTCGGTTATAACGAAGTCGCTGGGACCTTTGAAATTACTTCGCTATATCCGTAATTCGTTATAACCATATAAGAAATTCATTAAATTTATATAGCTCGCGATCCAAAATGACTTTGCTATATCCGAGAATTTGCAATATCCGTATTCGTACCAAGAGAGTTTCACTGTATGATGATATTGCATAAAACTTTGAGCTTTTTCAATCCAAATTAGAAGTCTCAAACTGATTTAATATATAAGTTATCTGTGGATGAATAAAAGACAGACAAAAGTAACATGGTTCATAATCTTTAATCTCAAGTTAAATATTTCATTGTATCACCTGTACTTACTAATTTCATATCGTAAACAAGAAATTCCCCATGGTTCTGATGCTTTGTTGATGGCATCTAAAATGGGAAAAAAAAAAACTTTTTGCAAATTCTAGTATTAGCAATCAGCTCTATATATTTTTTCAAAATAATTCTTTTTCTGAAATATTTTTTAAAATATATACAACGAATTTACTTGTCTCAAAAGATTCACACCATTTCAACATGTTCAAAGATTAAGTCACAATATTTATTATATTACTTTATGACTGTACTGTTTTACATGCTTTGGAAAATGTGCTATACATCATATACCAATGTTGGTTACATGTACATGTATAATGAACTGCTTGAATGATCATTGTCTATTAAAATACCATTTGAATATGGTGCAATGTTATTGAAACTTACCAACAATATTTACATTCAAAACTTCTCTCTCTCTGAAAACAGTATCTAGTGTAATTTTCCCTATTTCAGATCTCATGGTGGTTTGGGCTAATTTCTTGATGGCAAATTCAGCATTTTCTACATTATAACTACACTGTAAAAAATGTATAAGTAATTACAAACATTTTTAAAAAACACAATTATAAAGTTAAATGATGTATATTGAAATTTTAACATGTGTATGAATGCATTACCTTATATGGATCAAACACTTTAGTGTATAATACACCATCTAGTCCAAGTGTAACATTATCTATAATGAGAAAATTAAGTTTTTAAAAATAAACAACTTCAAAAGAGGTCTACAATGGAAAAAAACACCATAAACATTGGAATGATATTAAAGCATTAGCCATGTTTAGAGATGCTGCCAATGTTTTACCTGATGTTACAGCTGCCTGCTCTGGGACTTCTGAGGCCACCTCCTTTAGAGATTGTACATATTTAATTTTATCCACAAACGGTAAGATAAAGTTAAGTCCCTGTAAAGCAAAAAAAAAAAAAAAAGTTAACAAGTTTATTTCAAGGAAATAATTCCCTCCAATGCACTTATCTTCACATTTCTAGTACACCGACAATCCCAAATTATTTTTAAACATATCTCAATCATATGTTAAATTAAAATCATAGTGTAGGAGTAATACACTTACCGGGTTCAAAACTCTATCAAACTTTCCAAACCTTTCCACTACCCATGCTTCTTGTTGAGGTACAAACAGTATTATTGTGTTCATTGGTTGGTTTCGAGAAGTGAATTTCATATTTTGACTCCATTGACTCGGTATTGTTTTTCTCTGAAATTATATACATTTATTTATTTTTTTTTAAAGTTCATACTTTTACATACTTGTATTATTAATTAAGATTTAAAATAGTGTAAAAACATAATAGCATCGAGACATATCGATGTGATACATCAACCTTGCTGTTTTTTTGGGGGGAGGGGAGAGGAAACATCGTGTTACATACGACACCATGTGACATCAGAGTCTAGACGCATCAAATAACACATGCGGCTTGACGAGCCCGATCTAAATTACCGTATAAGTAGAATTTTTAGTGAGGATTTTAATTTTGACATTATTAGCGAGGGTGCTGACATCGCTAAAATTTAATATCGCTAAAAAATGATTGCGTATTATCTGTAATATCTTCTTCAGTTAGCATTTCAAAATCACTAAAATTACTTTTCGTTAAAAATAAAACACCACATTTTAGGTCGAAATCGCTAAATTTGCGTCTCACTAAAATTTCCACTCATAAGGTATAACAAAAGAAATATCTGCAATCACCATAATGGTCCCATCGTCAACATATTAACAGGGATATCAAAATCAAAAAAGTTTGTTTCAATCAATTTGGTTGTTAAATTAATTGCAACTGATACTGGGCCTTCCTTTCTTTGTATTCTTCGAAATCATTTCGGAGCTGATCCTCTCCGATTTGCTACATTGCAAGTATATGGGATGTATTTTGACTGTGGTGAGGTCTTGTCTGAGAAACATTTAAATTATTCTGTGTATAAATAGCAAAATCCTGAATAAGAAATTGAATATATCCAGGGCAGGCTTTGATTCAATTCCCTTGCTTATCAATCCAATCTGGAAATGAATTGCAGCCAGATATTTAAATTCATATTTATATACATATTATTAAATAGATATATTGGAGACTTTAAAGTAAATTCAAGTGCAGAACATTAAACTTCAATGTACGTATGAAGTAACACAAGGAAAAATTACGTAAGATCCACATTGGACAATAAAATAAACAAAAATGAACCCGTGTTGTAAATGCACAGAAAGTATGTTTTCTACTAAATCTGAATTTACATCTAGGCAAACACTGACCTGTAGAATTCTAATGCTTCTTGAAATGCACACTCTAGACATGATGATCTGACGTTCACGTTGACTCCTGTTTTTCACCAATTTTCACCGGAAATTCTCGGAGTCTATGTTAATTTAAAACCAACCATGACAACTCTCCGGATTCCGTAAGGTTACAACATAAATAGTCCATTTGTAGCCTGGTACACGAGTATGTTTTTAGGGCACGTAAACGAAGTTTCGGGGTACATAGTTTTTGTTGTTTCCGTCCGTCTGTCTGCATGTCTCTCTCTTTGTTTGTCTGCAAAAACTCTTTTACCTTCCCATAACTTTTGATTTAGTGGAGCTACAGTATCACGGCGGGGAATCTACGTCATCGTACGGGATTAGGACACACAAAAATGGAGGACAAATGCTCCGCTTCGATGTAAGAAATTGATATTTTTGCACTTATAAAGAATGGATATTAAATCAGTATCCTGCCTAAAGTATGCCAAAGAACGTCAACTACAATATTTATTGTACGTTTGTTTGTGATAGAATCTTATTGCTCCAAACACTTCGACACAGTTTGAAAACAAGTGAGAAAAACCCGGGATGTTGGCCACACTTTTTTAAAATTCGACCTATTATTGGCATATCCAGATGTACTAAACATTTTATTCTTCCGCGTGTACACTAGAACTAATATTTTTAAAAAATTCAGATTTGTTTAATAATTTATTATGCTTTAATTATCCAAGAAAAATGTATAAATCATTTTGTTTTCAGAAATGATGTAGGTCACACCAACACTAAAACGGATATGGGACACACAATAAGTTACTTTCAAATTGAAATATCGAGCATTCATATCTTAATGTTTCCATTTAAATGACTGCTGTTAGATAGTATATAAACAATAACCTGTAAAACTCATCTTTGTAATACTCATCCACATACTTGATTCCCTTGGTTTGCTTGTATACAAACAAATATTATAAGTTGAAAATGCTGGTCTATTCCTCAACAAAAGCTTCCAACATGAATTTTTTAAATTTAATTTCATGTAGAAATTTACCGGTGTTTACTTGTGCAGATCTATACTTCAGAGAGAGGTGGACCGAAGTCCGGGGATTGTGTTTATTTCATGATATTTCTATTTTAAGTTACACGACATCCACCCCCCACCCCCCATAAAAAAACACACACGCATACACATACACACTCACGAAATAAGTTCTTTTTAGGTTGCTTGTCAAAATAGTTTGGAGTCAGAAAATTCTTTCAAGTGTGCCCCCCCCCCCCCCACCTTCCATCCCGAAAAAGTTCCTTAATCTGCATATTGGTATTAATAATAAAATCTTCGGCACTAGCATGTCTTTTAATATGGGAAAGAGATCAAGAACTTTTCTTATGCTCAAATATTTTGCAACAACTGACCCTCCATGTGAATATAAGAATTTTTTTCCCTACACATGCTACAATGGTCTAAAAATAGATCGGGAAATTCCAAATTGAAACAAATAGTTTCGGAAAGCTATTTTATTTGCTCCTAACTTACACTCAGGTGAACATAAAATTAGTAATCGAATGTATGAAAGTGGTTGCCAGTGATGGGGAGGGCCAAAACAAAAACTGAAGTTCAAAATTGTCTTTTCGTTGTTGCCAATCAAAGGTTTTTAGCTGTCATTTTTCTCTGATAATGCCCCCCCCCTCCAAAACTTATCCTATAAAAGAGCTTGACATTATTTCTTTTTTGGGTATAGCTACTAAAGTACTTTTTACAAAAAAATCCCAATTTAAACTGCTACAGTATTATTTATTTAACCCTGCTCCTATCACTGCTTTTGGCTAATATTCCAGCAAATGTAAATAAGATGGCATGATACGTAATATTTAATCACTTATTCATACATGTATAATAAAACAATAATTGTTGTTTTTTTTTCAATCAATACGATGGTTTAGCCACCTTCCAAGTACAATATTCAACTTTATCTTTTTTCTCAAATATGGAGTCGGTGATAAACTATTAGAATTTTGACACAAGTTTGTCAGCTGTTGCAAATATTTGAGCATAAGAAAAATTCCTTAATCTCCGCTTCCTATCAGCTGACATACTAGAGTCTTGCCGACAAAGATCTAATAAATACAAACACTGAATATTCGAATACAGAAACTTTTCGAGGGGGGGGGGGGGTTCCACACAAACTAAAAAAAAGTTCTGACTCCAAAATATTTTTACAAGCAAAGAAATTAAACAATCAACCTAAAAAAAGCTGTTTCTTGTGTGTTCAATAGGATCTGGGTCGTGTTACTCAACACAGAAATATCGTAGAGTACGTAAAATATACGTAGATTCCGGACTTCAACCCTCCTTTTAGATCCGCACATGTATATACTAGTATCTTTCAATATGATATTTAATAAAAGTCAAAATTTGAAATTCATTTTGGCAGCTTTTGTTGAGGATCAGGCAGGCCATTTCAACTTATAATATTTGAATTTTTGTATGGATACAAGCAAACCAAGGGAAAATCAAATACATGTGTTTGTTATTTGTTATTTGTTAATGTATTTGGATGAGTATTACAAATATGTGTTGTACAAGATACAAGATATTTTATTTACCAATCAAGGGCCTCGAGGGGCATTTCAACATACATAAATGTACAATTTAAACATTCTTTTTTTTTAAATATAATTTTTTTAAACAGTTATATAAATGACCAAGTTACATAATAATATTGATAATATTGTTCTCAGTGTCAATGATCATACATAATACAAGTATCCAGAAGAATGTCAATGATCACAAAATAATATAAAAATGTGATGCTATACATGTATAAATTTAAATGGCTTAGCATGCATAAACAAGATGACAGAATCTATGTATTTATACATTGGTTCTTTTACCATTTTCAGAAATAAATTTTCCAAGAAAGCATAAAATTTCTTTATTATCATTATTCAGTATCCATATAAGTTTTTCAGCAGGTGTCAAAGAAGAGAAGTTTGGGTTGATTTTTGATATTGTTTCCATTAATTGCAACCTTTCATTGCTGTATTTTGGACAAATGAGCAAAAAATGTTGTTCATCTTCAACTTCCTGTATATTACATTGAGAACACTTCTTAGATTCAGGGGGAAGTCCTGCATATCTTCCCCTTTCAATATTTAATTGATGTGCAGAAATGCGAAGTTTAGTTATATTTTTCCTCTGATCATAGTTATTGACAATGTGGAGATAGCGTTCTCTTCCAAAATTGGTTCTGAAGATGGAATAAGTTCTTAGTTTACCATCATTTTGCTGTCTATTTTCTCTATACCATTGGTTTATAAAATATTATCTTATAATACATGATGACTTCTTTTTTAAATGAACAAGTACAATATTTTGGTAAGTCAATATTTTTGAAAGCAGTTAAATGACCCAAAATTGTCTCAATGGATGCAAACCATGATGGTTTATTTTCTAAAAAGAGGCTTTTTGAGACGGAGTATGCTTCTTTGAGTAGGACAAAAGATGGATGTAATGTTTCTAGTCGAAACCAGTAACTAAGCATAGCTTTGATAACTGAATGATACAAGGAAGAGTCATTGTTCATATACTACCAAACAGCAGTCATCTAAATGGAAACATTAAGATATGAATGCTCGATATTTCAATTTGAAAGTAACTTATTGTGTGTCCCATATCCGTTTTAGTGTTGGTGTGACCAACATCATTTCTGAAAACAAAATGATTTATACATTTTTCTTGGATAATTAAAGCATAATAAATTATTAAACAAATCTGAATTTTTTTTAAATATTAGTTCTAGTGTACACGCGGAAGAATAAAATGTTTAGTACATCTGGACATGCGAATAATAGGTCGAATTTTAAAAAAGTGTGGCCAACATCCCGGGTTTTTCTCACTTGTTTTCAAACTGTGTCGAAGTGTTTGGAGCAATAAGATTCTATCACAAACAAACGTACAATAAATATTGTAGTTGACGTTCTTTGGCATACTTTAGGCAGGATACTGATTTAATATCCATTCTTTATAAGTGCAAAAATATCAATTTCTTACATCGAAGCGGAACATTTGTCCTCCATTTTTGTGTGTCCTAATCCCGTACGATGACGTAGATTCCCCGCCGTGAGTATGACTTTCTGTAATTCTTGTGAGAAAAACTTTCATTGGATACCAAGTACTTTGACCCTTTGATATTGACCTTGGAGTTTGACCCACTTTTAAAAAGCAAACTTTGACCACCACTTTAAAGGGTTATATGAATTTAATCCTTGTGACAATACCTTTCTTTGGGTACCACCAAATGACTCTTTGCCCTTGGAGTTTGACCTACTTTTCAAAATCGGTAACCTTGGCCATAAATTTCGAAGGGTTACGGCAAGACTTTTCATTAAATACCAATTACCTTGACCTTCCAGATTTCTGTCTTATGATAAAACTTTAACCCTGGTCTACTTTCATATTTCACAATTGTTTTTCCAGTGAGAATACCCTACTTTGGAAACCAATATATTAAATTCGCATATAAGAAAAGTATAATCTCCGCAATGTTGCCATACGGGGGCATCAGTGTTTCACAAACGCATCTTGTAATAAACTATATCACCACAGAATGTTATTATAATCACAAACTCGAAATTATGACAAACAAAACAAGAGCTCTATGAGCCCCATCGTTTACCTTAGCACTGTGGTTATCAGGCGCGGATCCAGATGTTTTCCAATTTCCCGGGGAGGGGGGGGGGATTCCACCTAAGCCCTCCAAAGTCCAACCCGGAAATTTCTTAAAAAGCAAAAATGAAATATCCCGTAAACTCCTTTCCCACTGAATCGAATAAATGACTTTTCATACCAAACTCACTACAGCTCCATGTTTTCGAGGAGGGGTTTAGCGTTTTCCATGTTTTCTAGGGGGTCCAAGGTCACTTTCCAGGGGGAGTGGGGGTTCCGGACCCCATGGCTAGGAAAAAAAGCACAAATTAGTTCAACATATTTAGAAAATCTTTAATGTCACACAAGTTGTCAAAATAGTTCACAAAATATACCTGGATTTCTGATAACAGAACAAGCATCAGACCGATTACATCACGATGACTGAACAAAAGATGGAGGAGATCATGCAATCATGGATGCATGGACGTACAAAAGTGCAGAC